GGTTCAGCAATTTAAAACCATCTTATATTCTTTGTCTCTTTCAGGAGATACTAGTGAGTGACTCGTAATATTACAATAACAGGAGTCCATTTGTAGTATTCTAAGAGAGGTTAGTTGAGCTATGTCAATTCATACAGAACCTGAAAGCGTTATGCTTAATTAGGAGATGAGAGTTTTCAGAGAAATAGGAGATGGATATGAGTCATTTTCAAGCCTCTATTCAGGTAAGAGTTGGGGGATTGTTAGCAGTAAAGGCGGGGAGAAACAAGACTGACGCGTTCACTCATCTGTGAGTTGATGCCTCATGAACTTAGTGAAAGAGTTGGTGGATTGAGTTTAAGCCCCAGAAGCCAATAGCACATGGATCAGAGCATGGGCTGCTGGGGGGGGGGGGGTGCGGGCTCCTTGAAATAAGAAGGAATGCTTATTACTGTCATGTTGGAATACTGAGTCAAGAAAATGAGGTTCTTACAGAGTTAGGAATGAGAGAGAGAAACCATCTTCAATTCTGTTTACCAATTTATTTTCTACTTATGGTAACCACAGAGTTTCCTTGGGGGAGTGAGGATTGTTCAGCTATCTAAAGCTGCTTACATTTGAGTTCTTGGAGAACAGGACTCGGTAGCTTTTGTTACACTGCCAGATCAAGGGAGAGATCTAAAATGATTTGAAAACTACAAATGGACTACTCAAGAGAATTAGAAAGAAGATACTGGAAGACAATAGACTCATCAATGGGGTATGTCTGTTAGTTTAGAGAGAAATATGATTGTGCTTGCAGTTAACATTAAAGAAATCTAACCTTGGGGTTGCATACGGACACATGTCATCACAGGTGATGTCCCTTTATTTTGTCCCAGAGATATCTTCACTGTCTTGGATAAACTCAAGCACTGAGACATAACTCTTCACATACTAACTGTTCACGTACAGGTCTTTCCTTCATTCAGTCAACAGGAGTATTGCACGTCTCTGATGTGCCAGCTAAAGAGACACAGTCCCTACTCTCTAGCAACTCATGATGCAGGAGCAGGAACTGAGATGCAGGAAGTACTCTGAACTTTGGCCGGTACCTTGTGAAAGTGAATCCCATGCTGGAGGACCGAGAATGTCGATCTAACTGACAAGAAGTTTTAGGGAAAGCTCCCTGAAAGTGGTAACGCTCAGTCTGAGTCTTTAAAAACAGATTTACATGTCATTTGGAAAGAAGAAATTCAAACTCTTTCCATTGCACATGAAAGATGTTGCCTCGGTGACATGGGTGACACTGTTGTCTTTAGTTTGGCAAAGGTGCTGTCATTCGGGGAAAGTGTCCTTGGAATGGCTAGTCCTATTGGAAACCGAATTCTTTTTGTCCTGCATTCCAGTCCAACTTGCAAAGAGGAAAAAAATGCATCATCTATATTTTCTGTGACAGCTTTATTGCACTTTCGTATTCCCCGTGTGCAGGCTTCACATGTTATAGCCATAATTCTTGACCTGTAGGCTAACACAAAGATGAGAGGGCAAGGTCAAATTTAAATCACAACGGGTGTGTTGGTGGCACTATAATTCTGGCTTCTCTCTTATGGAAGGAAGTTTGTCAATATGTATTCAAATATAGAATGTACACTGTACATATCCTTTGTCCCCAAAATACCACTTTTGTCATTTAATGGGAATAGGAAATATTTTAGGAACTTTTGTAATGACAAGGAATTGGGAACAAATAAATTTTACGGTAATAAGAGGCTCATTAAGAAAAGTATGATGCATACATACAATAGAATCCTGGACAGCTGTATACTTTGGGATGTACGACTATATTTATTGACATAGAAAACTATCCATAACATCATGCAAATGTCAGTGAACAAAGCAGATTGCAAAACAGCATGTAGAGAATAATATCGTGAAGGTAAAATTCTGATCATGTGTGTATTTGTATGGACACATTAAAAAATACCCAGCAGGACTTCCCTGATGGTCCAGTGGTTAAGACTTCACCTTCCAATGCAGAAGGTGCAGGTTCGATCCCTGGTCAGGGAGTTAGGATCGCACATGCCTCGTGGCCAAAAAACCAAAAAAAAAACCATAAAACAGAAGCAATGTTGTGACAAATTCAATAAAGACTTAAAAAAAAAAAATACCCAGCAGAATGTTGAATAAAGTATTAGTACAATTATCTCCAGATGGTAGAATTTCAGGTGATTTTGACATTCATGATAGACTTTTCTGTATTTTTCTTGTAATTTTTTCAATAAATATATATATTTTGGTAAAAATTATTTTCAAAAGAAAAAATTTTGAAGTGTGGTTTATGGGGTTATTTACCTAAAGGCCTAGTCTTTCTTTGAAGAGCATATAACCCCAATGAAAAACCCTTAAGTGATGTCACAGTTATCACCTAGACATGCAGCCAAGCAGGGGCAGAGTTGATAGGAACTGGATTCAGCTTCCCCTAAGGCTGGTCTCTGGGATTCCCTGCTCTTCTGCTGCCTTGGTCTGAAACACCCCTCCAAGTCCCCCTCCTCCCTTCCTTCTGTGTGTCACCCTCCCCACCCCTGGAGAGACCTGGATGGAAGGAAGTGTCAGCCTGTAGATTCTGGCCTGCGTCCTGGGCTTGTTCGGGGCAGGAGTCTCCAGGGGCGGTCACGTGTTTTAGGAAGAATCGAGATCTCTCCAGAGTCCCAAAGGCTTTACTGGATGCGAGATGCTCACGGAAACCAAACTGCTACCTGTTTTTCCCTCTGCATGGTTTGCCCATTTTTATCCTGAAAGTCCAGGGTGGTGAGGATAGACAGGAGAGGTGGCTGGTGGGCTAGTGTCAGTCTCAGCTTGGCCCGAGTCCTTGCCCCACCCCTGTAAAAAAAGGGGCTTAAGTGAGTTCAGGTGTTTGTAAAAATTTTGTAACTTACACTCTCATATTCAACAGTTATTTGAGTGCCAGCTGCCTATCAACACTGGCCTAGGATCTAGGGATTCGGAGTGAAGAAATACACTAAACTTTGTCCTCAACGGACTTAAATTCTAGTGGGGTAGGAGTCGGGGACACAAGAAAGAAGCAGCTGAGTGTCAGACCAGGAGCAGGAAGCTGCTGTTGACATGGGGTGGTTGAAAGGCTTCTGGATGAGGCGAAGTTGAATGGCTAGTGAATAAAGGGAAAGAGGTCTCACTTAGAAAGGGGATCACGA